GTTGCTAATGTTGTTAACGTCTTCGTTACTATTATACTAATAATAAAAAAAAAAAACACATTTTTTTTTTAGAATTCACGTAACGTAATGTTCATTCAACAAAAAGTGAAATTAACCGATTTTGGCATAACTCACACAACGGTCTCACCGCCTCCTTCTAACCCTATTAGCAATATTCGAAAAATATCTTATACAGATCCACAAATTTTAACCGTTTATTTATCAACTTATAATTCATCACAATCTTCTTCAATTCAATTCCCTGATTTTTCTCAAATTCATTCTTCTTATTATAATTTACAAACTCAAAAATCTGATATATATAGTTTAGGTGTTATATTTTGGGAAATATCTTGTGGTCGTAGTCCTTTTTCTGATCGTAAAAATCCTCCTCCACAAGATTTAGCTAATGCTATCACAAAAGGTTTAAGGGAACTTCCTACAAAAGATGTTCCTATTGGTTATTTAAAATTATATACTTTATGTTGGGATATGGATCCTGAAAAGAGACCAGGAAGTGAGAATGTAGTAACTATGTGTAAAGAATTAATAAACAATGGTGACTCTACCAAAGGTGTACTTGAAAAAAATGGAATAAGTAGTGTAACGAATAGAGGTATTGAGGAAGGAAACGGAAGTAAAAGTTAGTATCTTTTCTCTTTTTTTGTAAAATATATATATATATGTAATAATGTAATAACGCAATAATTTATTATTTTTTTTAGTGCCAGAACAGAATTCGAAAAGAATGACTAGGATATCTGATATTGGTATTTAATAAATTTTTTATTATGTGTGAGATACAAGGTTTTTTTTTCGTTATTTGTGTGGGTGTGAATCGAATGGTACAATATCTAATTCTAGATTGGGCAGATTTACAAAGGGATGCTTTAGCAGCTGAATTATGGCTACATAATCAAGGTAAGGTTTTTTATCTTTAAAATCTTTCTTAATCCTCATTTTTTGTTCATCTTTATCATTATATAATTAATTTTTTAGAAATTGAAGAAAGACGACAAATGGGATTAATCGAAGAAGGTGATGAATATTATGGTCAAGGTATATATTACATTGTTTATTTTATGATATAAATGGTTAAAAAAAAACAGATCCATGTTGGGTTTCATTGTTTTTAAGCTTAGTAAAAACGTGTTGTCCATCTCTAATATGGACGATCAATGTGATCAATGTCATGATTTACGATTTACATATGATTTGCATAAGACCGGATAAATGTTGTTTCCTTTTGTTGTTTATTATTTTATTATTTTATTATCACGAGTCAATTTAATGAATTGCAAAAAAAAATTTTAATAATAACTTTTATTATTCTTAGGATATGGATATACATCAATTGAACAGTCTGCTGGCCAACAAATTGAAGGTAACTTTATATATTACAAAGTCTTGTTTTTTCAGGAGTAAAAAAATTCTTTATCGATTCACAAATGTTTATCAATTATTTTTAATTTTCGTTAATTTTAACAAAAACAGAAGAAAAACCGCAAAAAGAGAAAGATATATCATCAGGATCTCAACAAATTCGACAAAGTCAGGTAAATTATTTTAAATTTAAAATTCAACCTTTTCTTTATTTATTATAGTTAATCTTTTATATAAAAATAAAGGATCTAGAATCTCAACGAATGAAAGGTCAAAAATGGAAAGACAAAGCTAAAAAACTTGTAAAGAGACTTTCAGGAGGACGAGTGAGTATTATGATCTGGTGTATTAATAATTATAATTAATATAAATCGTAATTATAATAATAATCATAATTATAAATAATGATTACTATTATTAATGCGCGTCTATGATATGTTAGAATATAATTATATCTTAAATTATCCTAAATTATCTTAAATTAAATTATCTTAAAATTAGTTAAACATTAATTTATTCTTTTGTATTCGGTTATTGATTACTAGTACATAGGTTTAATCAATAATTTTATTGAATTCTATAGAAATCTCGAATTCAAGAGACTGATGATCATTTAAATATATTTGAAGGTATAAATTCAATTTTCTTAATTCTTTGGATTCGAATAAAAAATCGGTTGAATTTAATTTTTTACGAATAAAAAAATTAATATACTTTTATAGATGGATTAGACGAGGAAGATGTTGCAGCTGGATGGACTTCTGTAAATATAGGTATAATTTTTATTTACGTGTATACGTGCTAGATATTGGACCTGTGAAGAAAAACGCTATTCGAGTAAATTACTCGAGTAAATTATTATAACTTAATCGTCGAGTAAATTACTCGAGTAAATTATTCATGTAAATTACTCGTGTAACTTAATTACTCGTGTAAATTATTACCCTGGTCTGATATCTAGATACATACGTAATTTCGCAGCAATTACTTACAATTTTCTACTTCTTTTTTTTAAATCACAAATTATTAATTAAAGCCGAAATTGGTAAAATAGATTACAACACACAAATTTCTCAAACCTCACCAATAATCGAAGGAAAGAAAACTGATAACAATATAGTAGGTCATGGTAAGAGAAAGTTTCTCTTTTGTTTTAAAGGTTAATTTATAGGATTCTTTTTTCAAAAGTGGATACTTGAAATTTATTTTGGGAGGATAACGAAATAGATCATCTATAAAGTGTGGATATTTTTTCTTTATATATTTATTTTATTTCACTTTTTTTAATTAGTGCGGTTTGAATTGTAACCAATATGAGAAGGTATTAAGTTGTTGGGATGGGATGTTCGTGATGGAAAATATGAAATTTGTTTTTTGTTGTGAACATTATAATATAAAAAAAAAAACTATTATATAAACATTATGTATTTATAATTATATATATATATATATATGTAGAACATATAGATGTATTAAGAAAAGATATCTACACTTTAAATTTATAGAAATTTTCTCGTTTTTATTTATTGACAGATATTAATTTGCTTGAATAAAAACATCAAATTTTTTATAGAAATTGTTTATGGGTTTTATTCGTGTTGGGTGATAATAGTTAGCAATTTGATCGGTTTATTTATACCAATATACTATACTATGTTATATGTTATATCTTATATATTTATCCCTTTCTTTTTTTTTATCCCGTTTTTTTGTGTTTGTATATTGATTTAAATTATAGGTTCGTTTCCTTTACGTAGTTCACATAAACAGAGTGACAATGTTGATAATGTAGATATAGGAGAACCTGGCCCATCAACTTTTAGACGACCAATACAGCATATTCCACTTTCTCCAAAAGCATGTAAGATTCATTAAATGCTAATAATATCATTTCGAAAAAAAAAATTTTTTTAATATAATACTAAATTTAACTTCTATATTAATTATAAGTTTTATATAGCGATCATTGTAAATCATTATTTTTAAAAAACAAATGGAAATTACATTCACAACCATGTTATGCTGCTTATCATGCAAGAATTGGTGATATGAAAGGCATAAGATGGCATGTTGAACAATTTGGAGATTGGGTATTAAATGCTGTACAAGAAGTTAGTGGACCTAGAAATAGGTAATTTAATAATTGATTTATAATTAATTAATAATCAAAATAAATCAAGTAAACATTATCATAATTTAACTAAAATTTATTATTTTATACTTTAGTTATAGGAGGCCATTAGAAGCGTTACCAATAGAGGCAAT